GCTTGGCTGCAACCGCCATCCCCTCATACCGCCAGGGGCTGAGCGTGCACGGGGCAATGCCCCTCAGAAAGGCGAACGCTGCGCGGTGAGGTGGTGCAGTCAGCTGGAAATGGCGCCCGGGGCTGGAAGGGCTCTGGGAATGAGCGGGGAAGCGGTGGTGCCCAGCTAACCCGTGGGGAGAAGCCCCAGCCTGGCAGCATGATGGGGTGTGATTTTTCTCTCTGCCCCCCCGCCAGATCCGTGGCAAAGGCCTTGACTGGCCCCTGCTTGTGAAGGACTTCAACCTGCTGCGCTGGCTGGGGGCGAACTCTTTCCGCACCAGCCACTACCCCTACGCCGAGGAGATCATGGACCTGTGCGACGCCTACGGCATCGTGGTGATCGACGAGTGCCCGGGAGTGGGGATTAAAATGCTGTAAGGCTTCGCTCAAAAGTTTCCCCTTGTTTCTATGTTCCTCTTTGAGCCACTTTGAAAGTGTCTCACTCCTGTCCTGCAGCACCCGATGTCCTGATAATGGAAGTACTTTGCTCCATTTAGAAATTGGCCCGTTGCGCCACGTGTGCCTAGTGAGGTTGGGCAACCAGAGGGCGGTTTGCCACATGGCCATCGCGTCATTTGGTCTGGCTCAATTAATGAGCCCAAACCACAGCCCTGAACTGTGCAGCAGGCTTTGGGGAAACAGGGCAGAAGCCATATTCAACGTCAAGGCTCAGCTGTGCATATACACCCCAGAGGCCTGAGTTTTCACAGGGAATGGCAAAGGGGATGAATTTTATACTCTCACCTCACTGGTGTCGCTTCCTTCTGTCTTTAAGCGAGAGCTTTGGGAACAAGTCCTTGCAGCATCATCTTGTTGTGATGGAGGAGCTGATCCGCAGGGATAAGAACAGGCCGTCAGTCGTGATGTGGTCAGTAGCTAATGAGCCGGCATCGGACCTGCCCCCAGCAGCTTTCTACTTTAAGTAAGTGCATCTGCTCCTACAGAGGGCTGAGGCTTGAATCTTGGCAGGTGATGCATCTTCTTCCTTTGGGATGGCACAGAGGAGTAGTAAAGAGAGAGCAACGATCTTTTGGGAACCCTGAAACCATACCCAGAGGTGCAAACTAAAAGTGTAACTGCTGTGTATGTTGAACTGATGCTCAGAACCACACAACAGTCTCAACCTGTTGTTTTTGCACCAGTAAGGCTCTGCAAAATTATCAGGAGTCCGTTTGGTCTGAGTATCTCTTCTTGCCCTAAGGGTCAGGCAAAAGCAGACCTGATGAGAACAGGATATTCCTTGTTACCAATGGAAGACAAGTGTTAAAGTCTTTGAGAGTTACAGCAAAGCTGAAAAATAATTTGCCTTTAGTTCTGAAGACAAGGTTCTTCAGTTAGTGCTAGTTATTTGGTCTGCAGGGCATTGTGACAGCCCACTTCAAAGCCACTGCTTTGAGTCCCTGCGGACCTCTTGGTTTTATTTTTAAAGAGATTTAAGCTTTGGATAGCCAAGAGTCATCTCTGTAGTGGGGTCGCAGACTGTCCCTAGTAGCTGTAGGTGCATTAAGAAGTAACTGTGAAGTTTCATTCTTCAGAATGATCCACCCCCACCCTGCAGTGTCAAGGTAGCAGCAGAGCTTGACCCTCCCACTCTGTCTCACCTCCCTCATTCAGGGTTTCCTCAAAAGCAGCCCACCTTTGACTGCTCTGCCAGCTGTGGCATAGGCCTAGGGCCTTGTGCTTTTGCAGGAACACAGCCCAGGAGTTGTTCAGGAACTTCCTATGACCCTTCTTAACATTTTGGTCTTTAAACTCACTGTCCCTTCTCCAATTTCTAAGCTGCTGGCGCCAACAGACAAATTAATGCCCCCATGTTTGGTGTACTTCCACACTGGTCTTTTTTCGGGTGGGAGAGCAACCGGCTTTGCCATGGTATTGATACTGCAGAACTGGCTAGGATTGCAGGCACATTATAGCAATGATCGCTCAGTGTCCTGCAGTATTTAATTAAATCAAAGGCACCTCCACCTCTCTGAGGGGGGTGAAAAGACAGAGTGCTGGGGAAATGGGGCTGTGCTTCTCCGTGCTGTTGTTGAACTCTTGCTTTACTGTTTGCACACAGGACAGTGACAGCTCACACTAAAGCTCTCGATCCCTCCAGACCAGTAACCTTTGTGACAGATGTTAATTACGCTCTTGATCGTGGTGTAAGTTTACTTTATTTTCTAGCCTTTTTTTTTTTTTTTTAATTTCCTGCATTACCTTTCCTCTTTCTGTCACTTTTCCCCCACCTCCCCAAGTTTACTGGAGATATTTAACAGGGAGAGGCAGAAGAAAACTTACATTTCTGTTTCTAGTACAAAGCACCTTATCCTGTAGTTGTAGTCCAGCTAGGAAAAAAACCTGTAGGAGAGAAGAACAGTTCTTTGTCTTGAGTGAAGCATGCAGGATCAGACCCCGGGATTCCATTAACGTTGTCATGCTTTGCTGTTCCATCGATTGTGTTTACTAATGCTCAGGATTTTCACTTGGAATTAAACCAAAGCTTAAACCTCTTTAAAATGCTAACAGCCCTTGTGGAAGTCTTAAGGAAGGAAGCTTTAATTCCTGCTTTAAATTGCTCTAGCTCTTCTTTGGCAGATGTCTCTTAACATTGAATAATCAAAAAGCTCTTCCAGCTTCATAATTAAAATCCTAGAGCTGTATAAATAGCCAAAAGGCACTTTTTCTTGGATGTCTGTGCCTTAAGCTGGCCACAGCATGAACCAAGGATTTTTAACACACTTAGATGTGTTTCCAGGGTAGTTCCCATGTAATTTTTAATTTTTCAAGATGGCTTTATAATGCTTGTCACTACTGTACAATAAACACTTCTAGCAGGCGAGTGTGTAGGTACACGATTCTGCCACCTCCCTGTTACAGGTTACACTTTGGAT